ATGAGCCTGGTCAGCCCCATCCCAAAGCCCAAGTCCTTGTGCTTAGTATGCATGCCTGTCTGTCCATCCATCGCCTGCCTCATGACACGTGAGATATGGAAAGGTATGGAAACTGTCTTAAAAATCCAAGAGGAAGATGAGCCTGGGGAAGCTGAAAGGCCCAGAGTCTCTAAGTGTCTGACACTCTGGAAAGATGTCCTTCTGAGCCCTTCTGCGTCCCCACTGCACTGTCCCAGTGTCTCCACCTAACCCATCCCAAGAGAAAATTCACAAGCAACAACATGACTCCCTGGGCCAGTGCACAGCGTTAGCGCCACTCCATCTCGTCTTCTCCCTGGGCATGAGGCTCGCTGTGCGACAAGATGTCATCGTGTGGGTCTATTCTTGTCCTAGGCTGGGCCCTGCCTCAGGCATTTCCAGAGATCCAGCTACTGTAACTAACGCTGATGCAGCAAACTCCAAGTCACCTGCGGCTGACTTAGGACAGAGCTGTATAAACCCCTGGCTCCATCCATAGCAAATCCCACAAAACGGGGGCTGCAGCAGAGAGAAGCAACAGCTCCCAATGGCTCTGTCCTGACCAGCTAGTCCCCCTCCTCTAAGAAGTCTTCCTGGATCATGCCAGCCTTCCTTCCTTTCATCCCTCACTCGGCAACTGCTTGCTGGGCACTAACTGAGCCAAGATGAGTGAGGTTGGCCTGCCTTCGAGGAGCTCTTAGTCCAAGGGGGAAGCAAACGCCTGAAGTCAGAGAGTTGACTGACTGACTCTGCAAGCATTGAGCATCTTCTGTATGCCAGGCACTGGGCTCATGGTCGTCCCCCATGCACATTCTGTTACTAGCCCCCACTTGAGGAAACAAGGCTAGCGAAGTTAAGTCTCACACTGAAGGTCACACAGCATGGGATTCAAAACTTCTCTCTCTGGAGACTTGTTAGATAAAAAGTTTAATGCTTATCCATTTCATTGCTTATCCATTCCAGTCAGGATGATCAAGGTTGGAAATGCCTCGCACTAGAACAGAACTCACACTCTGACTTGCAAATTTTGAGAGACACATTTCCTTCTCCCTGGAAGATGGTGAGGTGGGTAAGGCAGCCATGATTTCATCCCATCTTACAGCTGGGGAAACTGAGGCTCAGAGAAATAAAATGACTAACCCCAGACCACCAAACTGGCAAGTGGCGATGCTGGGAACTGAGCTCGGGGCTTCTGGCTCAGCCTGCACCTCTTGCTAGAAATGGCGCTACCTCTCTGGAACATCCAACCAAGTCTCCCCCAGAACGAAGTTCAGGCTGCAGTCCTGGCAAGGTCCCACCTGCACGTGAGGATCTTGGCTCCCAGCCCCACTTCCTCACTCCCAGAATCCCTGTATCCCTCCCTGGGCAGCCAGCAGCTCTCCCCTTATGCTGGGACCCCATGGGAACATCAAACCTCCTGCCCTCTCACCAGCAGTAGGTTTCCCCACCACGGGCCAGAGCATCTGAATCCCTGCAGATTCTAGCTCTGCCCGCTGGGGAGGGGCTGGGATTCTGCATTTCTAGCAGGCTGATGCTGGGCTCTAAGGACCTCACTCTGATAGCAAGGCTGTGGGAGGGACTGATGCCACCCTGCTTGGGCCGGGCCACTCAGTGTCCCTCTCCTGCCTCACCATCTCTCTCCTGAGTGTCAAATGCTCAGGTCTGCTCTCTAAGACATAAAGAAAGGGTCCCCCCCCCAATTTCATTTGTAGCACAGACAGCTGGTGGGAAGCATCATTTAGAGCACTTGGGGCTACCCCTGACACCCCACGATGCCCTTCCCATCGTGGAGGGTCCTGGGAATAGGAGCTGCTGCCTGCCCCTCACTCTTTTTCTGTGGCCCTGCCGCCTCCCCCCTGCCTCCAGGGGAGGCCCTGGGAACTGGGATGGGAGGAGTGGTGAATTCCTCGGTTCTCCGCAGCCCTCATTGAAATTTTGCCCTTGCCCAAGAATCCTGGTCGAGAGCTCATCCCTATTAATTCTTGTGCATTTAGAGCCGATAGGTTTTTATTTATTCATTTATCTTGTCTTTCATCCCCCTCCTCTTCCTCCCCAGACTGGAATTTACAATTCAGTCCTCAGGTGGCCTTGCCGAAGGACAGGAACCTGGGAGAGAGGGTCTGCACCCAGGAAGGGAAAAGGGCAGCTACCCTTTGGCCCCTCTTGTACTCTTGGGGTGCTCTGAGGCTCACTCTCCTGTACACTGGATGCTGGGACAGACAGACCCACACCTGCCTACAGGAAGGGTACATGAGCAGGGACCCTCCCGGTAATGGCACAGCTAAGGAAGGGGGCAGTGGGAGGCCTGGCTACCACTAGGCGCCCCCTGGTGGATAATTAGCCACACCTGCCCTCCCTGGAGTAGTTGAAACTCCTTGTGTGCATAGACCACCTGCTGCCTGGAGAGTAGAAATGCAGGGTGTGGTGGCCTCAAGCTGGAGAGAAGCAAAGAATTCCAGGGAAGAAGAAAAGCCTGCAAGCCACCATAATAACAGCAATATTAAGCCAATAACAGCCACTGCACATTGAGTACCTATCATGTGCCAGTGGGTACCAGGGCACCCATGGCTGGCTGCATCCTCTCCCAGCATGGTGGCACTCCGACAGTATTGTCTCTACTGAAAGAGGAAGACCCTGAGGCTCAGAGATGTCAGAAGCTCAGAGAGGGGAGACCCTGTTCGCTGGTGGGTAAACACCAGCCCTGGTCACAGACAAGTGGCCTTTTAAACTGAGTGACCTTGGCAGGACTTAGGTGGCCCTTCCTAATCCTGTCTTAGGGATTAAAACAGGGCTCACTCTGGAGTGTCCTCATGATTAAATGAGACATGTATGGGACCTGCCTGGGAGGGGACACAGTGCACAGCAGTGGCAAGGCTTGAATCCAGACTAGATGTGACCTCCACCTCCCTGCAGAAAGGCTACCCTCCACCTGCTGAGACAGTGTCCCCATCCTCCTCAGCCTCACATTTGTAATCAAAGGCAGAGCCGATGGCAGCCCTGTCATGAAATATTTACATCCATCAAACAGGTGACGAGACTCTGAGGACTCAGTCATGCAGGGGTCTGGAGATGCTGAGCACCCTCACCCCATGCCCTCACACATCTTCCAAGAGAGGGAAAGGGAGGAAGAAGAGGGCTTCTTTCAGATCTCAGGGCTTGGCTGGTATCAGGGCCCAGAGGGGTGATCAACCCCCCTCGTCCCCCCCCCCCACCGCCAAGAGCTGTGCTGCTCTCTGTCTGAGGTGGAGCAGGGCAACAGTCCAAGGCCAAGGGCAGCCCCAAGCTGACTTCAGCCAGGAGAGGGCCTCGGACCTGCATCTGATGGTCATCTCCACTCCTTGAGCCCTGGATTGTAAGCAGGTCCAATGAATTACAATTTACCTGCCCTCCACCCTGTCACGTTAGGGGAGTGATTAATATTTAACAGAAAAAGAAAACACAGTTGAGATTCTAACAGGAGAAGCTGAGTCTGTCCAGAGAGTGTGTGGAGCTGCCCTCTCACAAGCTGAGTTGAACCCCGAGCCTGGCCTTGTCCATGGTTTTCAGGACCCAGCCCCCTGGCCTGTCCTGATCCTTTTGGTCTCCAATGCAGTGATGTCCACAGACTACCCAGCCCTGGCTCCCAGCCCTGACCATCTGGCCACAGCCCAGCCACTACCCACAGAGGCAGCCTTATCACCACTGACAAGCTCAAGAGGGAACCTCCCCTCCCAGGCTGGCTGTTCTGTGCTGTGACTGAAGCTGCCCCATGGGACTAAGATATCCTCAGGAGCCTGGAGTGGGGACATTGGATTGGCCCTGCCTGGCAGCTCTCCTAAGAACTCTCAGAGGCACCAGGCACCTGGAGGGTGATGCTTAGCCCCTGTTGCCAGATCCTGCAGCCGGGCTCCCCTTCCAGCCTCCACCGCAGACGACTTGCCGAGCTTCCTGGTGTTTGGCTCAGTGACTTTGGAGCCAGACACTAAGCATGAATTACAGCTTCACTACTTCCGGGGGTGTGAAAGACCTTGGCCAAAGACCTTCATGCCTGCTGCCTCAGTTTCCCCATTTGTAGGACCGGAATGACAATAGCAGACAGCTAGGCTCTGTGCTATTTTGAACACTGTCCATATATCCATTGAACCACAGGCCCCTTAAGGCCTCCGTGTGTGTGTTGTTGTATGCCCACCTTGCTGGGGTCTCATGAAGGTGGCAGAGCAGAAGCCCGGAGATTCACAGCTGGTCTACAGCCCACCCCCTAAAACAACTTTGAACAATATAGAATCAGCCTGGTAGAATTGGTGTGGGGACACACTACAGGATGATGTGTGCAAAGTTCTCAGCCCCTCACTCCAGGAGCTCACATCAAATGCCTTCTGCTTTTATGACCAATGCTGTTAACATTGCTTGAGTCCTGAAGTAGACTCAGGTGACAAGGCTGTAATGACTTAGCCATGACTGGGGATAGAACCAGAAAGGACGCTGGCTGTAACCTGCGTCCAGCCTGACCACCCCCCACCCCTTCCTCCTTCAGGAATCCCCTTGAGATTCCCACAAAGTGCCCACTGCCATGCTGGGCCCACATGGGCCTCGCAATGCTGTCGGACGACTGGGTTGAATGGGCTAGGAAGGCACCCACACAGGGCTGAACCAAAGCAGGGCAGAGTATAATGCACAAAATGTCCTGTTCCCTTGCCCAGAACACTGACTTCCTACAAAGGAGGCAGGGCTTGTCCTTGATGCTGGGGAACTGGGAGGAAACCATCTAGTACCAGCTAGCCAAAACTGCCCCTGCCCAGAGAATGTCACATGACGCCAGGGTCCTCAGGGCTGCTGGGCTTTGGCCCATTTCCAAGGTGAGACAGAGACCTGGTCCCTATGCAAGATTCAGGGAAGTCAGCCTGGCACCTTGGCCTTCCACTCTGTGCACCCATCCCCAGGAGGGTCCCAGGCCCCCTGCCCCCTGGCCCAGAAATAGAAAGGCAGCAGATGAGCTGACTTACGTGGGAACAGAACCTTTCAGGAGGGTCTCCACAGGTGATGCCTGAGGGTTCCACCTTCACCCTGACGTAGTCCTTCAGGCGCATCACCTTGGGCTGGCAGGCGTAGAACTCCCAGGTGGGGCCCTCGTCTGTGGTCACCCAGGATTTGCAGATGTCGTAGTCCCCAGAGGCCAGAGGAAGGCAGTGCAGGAAGAGCGCCAGCAGGTGCAGCATGGCTGTACAGTCCGAAGAGGAATGGCCCGAGAGGCCCTGGAGAGGCAGCGGAGGGGTTAGGGGGGACTCGCGGCCTCAGCATGGAAATGCCACATCTACCAGGTGATGGTGGCTAGGATGTCCCAGAGACTCGAGCACTGCAGGTTTGCCACCAGTCAGGAACTTGTTTTTTTCCAAAGGGTTGATATGGAAATTCGGAGGCAGCGTTTCTTAGTCTGCTGATGGGCAGATCATAAAGTTGCCACTAACTTGTCGTCCTCCTAACCTTGGCATTACACCTCCCCCAGAGGTGAAGCTGATCAAATCAGGCAGATTCTCAAATTGTGACAGTAGATGGAAACGGGATAAGGAGAAAATCCGCAGGGATCCGGCATAGGGCTGGATCAGATTGCTTTTAATTGTTGTCCTTCCAATCAATCCAGATCTTTAAAGGGCCCTTAATCTGTGATGTGCTCAACACGAGTGTGTAACAGCCCTCGGGCCTGCACAGTAAAGATAAAATAAAATCAGGAGGTGTACATGTTAGCTGGCAACAAGGTCCCTCTTTGGGACTGGACTTAGCATCTCAGCCCAATAAAAGAGACTTCTTTTCATAGGGGCTGCGAGTAACAATAGAGTGACTAGACCAGAAATAAAAAGCTACTGAGGTGTTAACTGGCCCTGCTTTGGTGGGGCCAGGCAGTAATGGGGGCCAGCTGACCTTGGCTGGTAGCCATCGGCAACTTATCATGAAGTTCCTGAGACTTTGGCTCTCAGTCCATCCAGGTACCCGGGGTCTAGTTTGTCTTTCATTGTAAGAGGGAAGAAGGGAGAGGAGGGCTTATCAACAGCACCTGCAACAAATTAAAAGAGGGGTGTATTAGTGAGGAAGAACAGAAGCTCTCTGCAAGACATGCAGAGATGAGGCTGCATCAGCAAGGCCTCCTGAGAAGGCTGGGCTGTTTTTGTTAATATTGGAGTTGCACATTCAGAGACTGGACACGCCATCAACAATATGATACACCTCACTTACAGGGGTTTAGTCCAGCGGAAGTGCCCCTGCTTGAGGGTCCAGACCCTCTAAAACATCCCCCAGGAGCTGAGACTTGACAATGGCCTGAAAACACCATGCCTAACTAGCCAGAATGTCAAAACGGTTCAAGTTAGGTGATGAGACCGGGTAGGTAGAGAGAGGTGACCATAACTATAGGTTCAGATCAACAGGGCAGGCCAGCAATGAAGAAACAGGTCCCCAGTTGGAGGTACAATTAAAAAAAATTTTTTTTTATCAATAACAAACTAGGATATTGAAGGCTTCCTCAGAAATGAAAATGTTTTTGTCATTAGATTTTTCTGATCAGGGCCAATATTGTGCCATCATCTTTGGAGGGTACATCTATAAATGGATCACTATTGAGATTATTGCTTTACTATTTTAAGCCTCTGGTAATTATTTAAAAGATAAAATAGATATAACTCATGGGAATGTTACATCAGGGAATACATGACTCCTGAAACATGGTGTGTTCCCAGCCTCCTGCTACCATCAGAAGAATTTGAATTGAGCCAGAATGGGACCCTGGCCAAAAATACTGGCCAGTAGGGCAAAGGTCACTGCAGTGAGTTACAGCAAGAATGCCTGTGTTATTAATTATTCTGGCTATTATACCCCTGATTGTTTTGTTTAAATCCCAACACACACATACAGCAGCCTGACTCTCACCTGACATTCTTCTGAGCCGTTGTAGGTGGAAGGTCTCAGAGGAGTTAGCCAGTGTTTCCATGAAACCCCACTCACCACCCAGACACAAACACACTCCTGCCAGAAATGACAATACAGAGTGGTGACACTGCCAGCCAGGGTCTGGCCACTGAGCACCTCCCTCAGGAAGAACCCCCAGAGCCAGCCAGCCTGCTCCTCCAGGCCCAGAGTGGAACTCATCCATCTGCGTTAAGGTGGCCCCTGCCCCCCTCTCTGGGTGAAGGGCTCCTAATGCAGATGAATGAGGCCCCAGGCAGGATCACATTTTCACATCTCACCCTTGCCTGTTTAAAAAGAAATCTGTTATAGAAAGTGCCTCCCAGCCTTGAATGCGCTCCTTTGCTAGAAAACTCTCAGGAAAGAACGTATTCAGCGTCTATTTTTACAACCTGAGAAAATGTAGTAAAAATAAAATAGCGGTGGCCGGCAAAGGGTTTGGATGTCTCTCCCTACTCAAGCTCGGAGCTGCCCAGAAAACAGCGTGCGCCTAATTAATTCCTCCAACAGCCGACTCCCGACTGTTCACTAACAGGTAGGGAGCTCCTGATGGCTGGGGACAACCAGGGCGCCAGGCTGCAGCTCACAGGAAGGACCCAGCTCTGGGTTTCATCTGCAGGACCAGGGCTGGGAAAGCACTGGAAGCGGCCTCGGCTGGAGGGGAGGCAGTGAGGCCGGAGGCCCAGAAAACAGCTCACAAATCTATTAATTGCTTTGCAGTTTTGTTGGCTTAAATGCCACGCACTCCCTGGAAAATTGGGTGGGGGGAAGAAGCCGTCAACAACAAATCTGCTAGGGGAAAATGTGTTTACAACCAGTCAATCAATTGGGCATTGCTGGCATCGTAGCGAGAATTATGAGCTCAGCACTCGATTATTACAGTTGATTTTTGCCAAAAAGAAAAAAGGGGGGAGGGGGAGAGACACCAGCATCCCCGGAATAACGGCGGGTAGCAGGGAGTGGGAAGCCGGCAGTGGAGATTTCAGAGTAAGAGGTTGTATCCTGGTAGATCGCTTTCTCCTCGAAAAATAAATCTTCACCTGATATTATTAAGAAACTGCAGCACCCAGAAACAAATAGAATCAATGCGCTGTATTTTCTTTTAAGAGTCCTCAGGAACCGAGGGGGGCTGATAGCCAGGGTATTAAAACCCGAAAATTAGATTTTAGCAGGATTTCTGAACTCAGATTTCTCTGTCTTATTGAATTAGCGACTCTCGGAGCTGGCTGGGCTCCGGAGCAGGCTCCCGTCGGAGTTGCGGGTTGCGCCTTAGCCTCGTGGGAATTCGCCCCGGCGGGCGCGAGGCCCCAGGGGGACACTGGGGGGAGGCGCTGGGGGGGTCCCGGGGGTCCCAGCCCACCCGACGTTTCTTCTGCCTTCCAAGTGGGACAGCGCAGGGGGTGAAATCTGCCCTAGAAGAGGTTGGAAGGGGGGACGAGGAAGGAAAGGGGAGCCCTAATGGCCGGGGTCACCTTCCCGTCCCCCGCCTGGGCTGGGCCCTGCAGGTGTCCTGCTCTCACCGCCGCCTCAGTGGGCGTCTTCCGCCGACTGGGTGCCCCTCGCTCCAAACGGCGCTTTCTCCGGCCCTCTGGCTCCCCCCTGACGCCCTCTCAGCGTCCAGGGAGCCCGGGAAAGTTGGGTGCTGGGGGGCGGGACACGAGCCGGAGGTCTCCGCGGCGGGGTGGTCGGGGCCCCGCGGGTGGGTAACCACCGGCCAGCCCCGGACCGCAGAGCCAAAGAGTGGGGTCCGCGCTCTTGGCCGGCTGCAAACCGTGTGCACAGCACACGGATGAGCCCCGCAAGCTCGCCGCTGCTTTTTGCCTTTCCAAAGTTGGGTGCAAACCACCAGAGCAATTAATCACGGCTTTAATAAAGATCCGGCCGGCAGCGAGGGGGCCCCTCATTTGGCACCGCCTCCCTTAATTAAAAGACACCGAGCAAAGCGCCCTGGAATGCGTTGCATCCTTTTCCCCCCTGAGATGCTGCCAGCGACGACCCTGCCGCTGCTGCCCCCTACCCAGACCCGCAACTTACTCCGGGGCGGACGGACCCCGCGAGCCCGCGGACCTCTTCCCGCCTTCCCGCCGCCTCTGCTCCCCTGAGTTTGAGTTCGACTGGGCACGGTGATCGCGCCGGTCCCCGCCCCACCCCCACACCTACCGACCCCCTCCACAGCACGCAAAGAAGTTTCCAACCTGGCTGGCCGAGAGTTCTCCGTGCAACTCAGTTTGCAGAGATGGGAGGGCACGAGACGGGGTGGCCCTGGGTGATGGCGATTCAGTTGGTATGGGGGTGCGGCGCGAGAGAAGGGTTAATTATATTTGCATAAACACACACACATCCCGGCAATCTTGTAGCGTCCATCCCCACCCCACACACGCACATGAGATGGAAAAAGAAGGGGTGCGGGGTTGGGGGAGGCCAGCCAGAAAGACAGGCTACTCCTTTAAGCTGCCGCTCCAAACGCACACTCACAACACACCCCTCTCGGGCGACTCCAGCCCTTGGCTCGGTAGCAGCCGCTACAAAATAACTTTTGCATCCGAGCCTCGGCTGGGCCGCTGCAAGTGGCTCCTGGGCCCCGGGAGAGCCTGCACGGTCACCAAAGCCCTTGCAAAATGAAACCAGCCAGGCAGGGCTGCAGCATCGCTCCCCCGCTCGCCTCTCGGGCGCTCCCCGCCCGCCTTACCCGGGCTCGGAGCCGCTTCCCGGAGCGGAGACCCGGGAGGCCGAGGACCGGCACCCTCTGGCTGTCGCTGGGTTGGGGGCGAGGGTCGGAGGACAGCGAGCCGGGGCTCCCGCCGCCGCTGTGGCCGCCGCCGCCGTCAGATTGGGGCCGGGGAGCCCTCCGGCCGCCGGGGGGGCCGCCCGCAGCCGTCCCGGAGACGCGGGCCGGGGGAGGGGGCCGCCCGCGCCGCCCGCATCGCCCGCCCGGGCCGAGCGGGAGGTCGCCGCTAACAAGTGCAAACTTTTTGCCCCCGCTGGGCGGCCAGGGGGGGACCGGCGCTCGCACGCGGCGCAGCCCCCGGCCCGGGTGGGCTTCGCGGCTGCTCGTCGGGGCGCCGGGGCATCCCCCCCTGCGCGGCGCCGGCCAGATGGCTGGGCGCTTCACTTTCCCCCCGCACTCCGCTCCAAGTTAATGCCCGGACTCAATCCTCTGGCCATCACTCACGATCACCAGCGGGGCTTTTATCTCTCGGTCTGATCCGGGCTGCGTAACTTCCTCTGTGTGGCTTTAACACACCATCCCACCACGGAGCAACGGTCTTCTTAAAGGTGCAGGAAGGAAATACTGCGAGACTCGGGGGACGCGCCTCGGCCGGGGGAGAGGCGCGCGCGGCCAGCAGGGGCGTCCCGGCGGGCCCGCGGCCAGGGTGGCCCCAGCAGGCGGCCGCCAGAGCGAGCCTGCTGTGGGGGGTCGCTGCCTACACATCGCCTCCCGGCCCGGGGGCCAGCGAGTCCCGGCGCGCAGAGCGCATCCTCAGCCGGCTCGGGTCAGGCACCGCGGGGCTGCAGCTCCCTTCTCCAAAACCCAGGGGCCTGACGGGGTGCCAGAACCCATGGGCTTGGAGCTGCCCCATCGGCACCAAGCAGGGGCCAAGTGAGTCAGTTCCCCCACCCCCAACAGCCAAGGGCTCAAGGCTGCTCCTCTGTCGGTCTGTCTGTCTGTCTGTCTCTCTCTGAAGTGCTGCCACCCAGAAGGCCCCGAGCAGTGGGTAAAGGGGTGGGTGGGTGGATTTGGGGAGATGGGGAGGGGGAGCGATCTGAGCGCACAACCAGAGCCTGAATACCAGCTGACACATCGCCGCCTCCACCCTGATGGGCCCTGCTTTTGACGAAGCCAAGCCAGCTCGGCAGGGAGTGCAGAGTAGGGGGGCAGGAGGGGCCTGGCTAAGAGGTTCTCTGCTTCCCTGGGGCCAGCCCGGAGGAGGGCGTGGGAGGACTTCTGCAGGGGCTGGGCAGAGGCCACTGAGCTGGCAACACTGGGCAGCCCTGGGCTCTCCAGCCCTCTGGAGGTTTCCTGCCAGGCTGCCTCCGGGGCTGCAGGGAGGGCTTCCTCAGTCTTCCAGGAGCACATGTGGTTTTCGGGTGCTCCTGGCCTCCTGGGATGGGTTCTTACTGCAGTGCTCAAGCAAGCAGCACTGTCGTTTGGATGCATCAAGAACAAAGGGCTTGAGGAGAGAGAGAGACAGAGAGAGAGGGAGAGAGAGAGAGACAGAGAGAGAGGGAGAGAGAGAGACAGACAGAGAGACAGAGAGAGACTGGCCCAAGGTCACAGAGGGTGTCAGAACAGAAATGGGAGCAGGAGATGGCAACTCAGTGTCCTACCCCACTGACGGGGCTTACCTCCACCTCAACCCTTGCCTATTCTTGGTTCCTCCTAAAACTGAAGACAGGTTTGTAGGACTGAGTAACACTTGGAATCTTATGACAAGGCAGGCAGACGATGCACAATTAGATTGTCACCTGCTGTAATAATGATAATATTTATTAAACAGCTGTTTTAGGCCAGATTCCCAAAGAACTGTGACTTCACTGCTATCAGCAGTGTCAACTTCAAGGTAGCTTAGAGAGGTTAAGTAACTTGCCCAAGGTCACACAGCTAAGGAAGATTCTGTCTGGGAAGCAGGGTTCTCGGGTTCCCAGGTGGCACCTGCTAGTGGCTTGACTTGCTGGCTAGCTTGAGGCATGGTATAGATTGCTTCAGGACCTCAGTTGCCCATCTGTGAAATGTGAATGGCAAGCCCCACTCTAAGGTCTTCAAATAGGGCCACCAAGTGTCTACTTGCACATGCTCTCACTGCTCCCTGGCTCCCAGGCACCCAGGAGGAAACTCCTTGGAGGATGGCAACAGATCTCAAGATCTGATTTTGAAATATTCTGCCTGCAGGCAGCAGTGCAGGGTGAGTGATGACCAGGTCAGCCTCAGCCTGCTGTCCCCTCCAGGCAGGGTCATCAATTGCCAGGAAACGCCCTGCTGCTTCATCATCACAGTGACTGGATGCTGTCAGGAATGCCAGCGAGGCATGGAGGAAGATGCTTTCTGTTCCTACTTTGTCCAAACACAGTGGGGGACCTGGGTGCATCCTCCCTGTGATTGCCAGGGAGGCTTGAGTGACCCACATGCACTAGAAACTGCTCCAGTGCCTCCCACCCCAACTCTAGCACCACTACTCCTCATCTCTGGGGTAAGCTGATACCAACAGGCTTCAGGACCGGCTCCCATTTTTAGACCCTGGAAATCATGGTGCAGCGGAAAGGGCACTGGGCTCAGAGTCAGGATAATGGGCTTTCCTTGGCTCAGCCCTTAACTAGCTGTGTAGCCCTAGAGAGATGTTTTCCTTGCTCTCAGCCTCAGTTTCCCCATCTGCACAATGAGGGGATTTGCCCTGGAGGTTGGGCCCTTGCTACAATCCTGAATTGGCTGCACTCCCCAGCAGCCTCTAGGAGATAGTGTTCCTTGCTTTCTCTTCCACACTGAGGAATAAATAGGATTCCAGCCATGTAGAGACCAGGTGGTCCAGGGACACTCATTTCTAAACTGCATTAAGGTGCTTTCTGATAAATGACCTTTTGCAGGCAGTGAGAAGAAGCTAAGCACGGAGGCAGGAAAGTGTTAATGAATCTCCCCCAGATCAGCTTCCTAATCACCTTCATTGGTGGGTGAACTTCACTGTGCAGCTCTAATTTGAATTGTGTGAGTAGCATCTACTTTCTGCAGAACAATACGTTTGATTTTACCCCATCTGCTTCTTTAAAGGATTTGCGTATAATCATACACATGAATATGTTCTTAATCAACGTGTGTCTATGTACAGAGAGACTGTAGAAGCAAGGGAGGTCGGGAACGGCATGCTTTCTGGTATATATATTCGCTCTGTGTTGCTTGACTCTTTTACAATGAGAAATAAGCCTGGGAGAGGCAAGTAACAGGAAATTAGAAAGTCCCATGCAGAAATAAACTACTAGCTTTGCAATGAGAGGTAACAGATGAGATCCAACCCTCTGGGGATTTCTGAGAAAAGACAAATCTTACTGCAGACAGACAAAAGGACAGAAGAGCAAATGGGCTCAGACCACTGACTAAAGTCAAGGGGACGCTCCAAGGCCTCTCCTACCACATTCTCATTCTGGTTTCATTCACTCTGTTTATTTGTTCCAGGCTAAGATCTGGATTTTTCTAGAAACTCTTCCTCCTCTTGACCTTGAGCAGTTGAGATGTAACTGTAAATTGGCAGGAAGAGCCGGTGTCCTAGCCCAGGACCATTCAGGGGTTTCTAGACATCCCTGGGCCCCTTAGGGGCCAGGTGGGAGAGACCAAGACCCAAGCCCAGAGCAGTCCCTACGGTGACAGAAGCAGAGGCTGTGGCAGAGCCTGCACGAAGCACTTCCGGCTCCTCCCTGCCAGTTCTCAGCTCTAATCTCCAGACCATACTCCCATTAATTATTATTACCATATTAATCATACATGTGATTAATTCAGTAATGGTGATTCATAATTGATTGCATTTTATATGGTGCCTTTCATCCACACATCTCCCAAGGTGTGCACTGCCTACAACAAGACACACATCAAGCTGGATGTGTTTGTTGCTTCTCTGAGTTTTGTTGGATAAACTTCACTCGCAGAGGCAGGGGGCTAATGGTCTTTAGGCAGACTAGGCTTGCCAGCCCCAGCTCTGTGCCCACCTTCCTGAGCACCCTGCCTTGCCCAGAGGGTGACCATGCCCTGGGAGCCCTGCAGACTTAGTTTCCTTGGCAGACAAGTCTGCCTGTTGTTGTCGTCGTTCTCTCCTGCCCCCCAGGCTGGGCACAGCTAGCCTGGCTCTGTGGGAAGCAGGACCACAAAGCTGCTCTGAGGAGGGCACGAGAACCTGGCTTTCTGGTTTGTAGTCATGCCTCTGTCACTAGTTAGCTGTGTGACCTTAAGTAAGCTATACCCCTCTCTGCCTCAGTCTACCCAAATGAAAAATGGAATCAATAGTTTCTTCCTTGGGTTAGCATAAAAACTAAATAAAATGATGTGTAGAAAGCCCTTAGAACTTGAACCCTAGTAAGTGCTCAATAAATGTGAGAGAATTTGTAGGAACCTTAGGCTTGTTTGTACCAGTGGCAGCTCTGTAACTAGTCTCTTCCTTTCTTTGGGCCTCAGTTTTCTTAGCTAAACAATGGGATGATAGGTCAAGTTGGAGGGCTCCTTCCAGATCTGAAATGAGCACTGACTAGAGTAGTTTTTGGGAGTTGGAGCCTTAGAGACAAGTATGCTGGGCTCACATTCCTGCTCCCTGTTTTCTAGCTCTGTGACCTTGAACCAAGGACTTACCTTGCTAAGCCTCAGATGTCTCATCTGGAAGATGGAGATTATGTCACCCAAAGACCTAAGCATGGCATAAGGATTTGATGAGCAAATGCTTGAAATCTATTTGGCTTCAAGAAAGTGATTAGTGTATAGTGGCCCTGGTACTGCATGCCAGGCAGGTGCACAGCACTTTACTGGGCCTCCCCTTCCCCACTCTGCGAGACATGCTATTTTTCTCCCCATTGCTCAGATGAGAAGAGGACTCTGTCCTGGGTTTTTCAGTGAACCTGGGCTCACTGATGTGTGGTCTCAGTTATAGCCAGGTGTTGGTGGCTCACACTTGTAATCCTGACTACTCTCAGGAAGCAGAGATCAGGAGGACCACAGTTCATTCTTGAGAACTTATCTTGAAAATTCTCAACCCAATAAAGGGCTGGTAGAGTGGTTCAAATGATAGAGTGCGTGCCTAGCGAGAGTGAGGCCATCAGTTCAAACCCCAGTACTACCAAAAAATAAAAATAAAATAAAAAGTCCTAAACTTTTTAGCTTATTATTCTAGGCTTTTCTTCCCAGTGCCCCTGGGAGGGAACTGCCTTGGCAGCTGTTACTGGTCAGCAGAAGATACACAGCCAGGAGTGACTTG